TCAAATATTTGGCTGATTTAAAATTGAGTTTTGACTTTTTATTATTGAGTTGTGAGAGTTCTTCATATGTTCTATATATAAGTCCCTTATCAGACCTATGATTGGCAAGGATTTTCTCCATTTTGCAGGCTGTCTTTTCACATTCTTGACTGTGTTCTTTGAAGAGCAGAAGTTTTAATTTTGATGAAGTCCAATTTATCCATTTTACCTTTTGTCACTTGTGCTTTTGGTGTCATATCTAAGAAGGCTTTGCCTAACTTGAGGTCACAAAGATTTACTTCTGTGTTTCTTCTAAGAATTTTATAGTTTTAGATCTTATATTTGGGTCTTTGATTCATTTTGGGTTAATTTTTTTCTGTATGGTATGGTATAAAGAAGTAGTACAACTTCATTCTTTTATATGTGGATCTGCAGTTACTGAAAACACTATTTTTTCCCCTTGTCAAAAATCAATTGACCATAAATGTATGGGTTTATTTTTGTACACTCATTTCTATTCGACTGTAAGATCTATATGTCTATCTTTACTGAGTCATTAAATAGGAATAGCTTCAAATTGAGAAGTTAATGCTAAACAGTTTTCCTAAGTATTATTATCAATTTACACCTTGCTCATAGCCTATGAGAGAGTCAGCGAATCATTCTCTCCATTACTTGTTATCGTCTTTCTTTTAAAGTTTAAACATTCTGATCAATGTGTAGTAATATCTTGCTGTTTTTATTTTGCTTTTGAATCAATATTATTGTGGAATAAATTAGATGCAGTACAATGAACTCAATTTAAGTGTTTTGAAATAAAAATTCATGTAACTGTTATCTAAATAAAGACATAGAACAATTATTTCACCTCAAAACATTCCTTGGTGTCTCTTCTCGGTCAATCTTCCTCAACTCCAGAACCCCAGCAACCATTGATCTGCCTCTGCTTTCTCTTAAAATAAATTAAAATCGTCTTTTCTAGAGTTTCAAATAAATGGAAGCATACAGTGTAAATTCTTTCCTTCTGGCTCTTTTTTCTTGGTATAATGTTTTGAGAATGTATCCATGTTACTGTGTGTATAAGTATTTCATTCCTATTTATTGCTGAGTAGCATTCAATTCACTTGTTGATGGACATTTGGGTTATTTCCTGTTCTGGGCTATTATGAAAAAGAGCTGCTATGAATACATGAGTACAAATATTTCCGTGAACATATATTTTTATTTCTTTTGGGTAAAAACCGAAGAGTGCAATTGTTACGACGTGCAGTATGTATATGTTTAACCTTTTAAAAATGATAAAACATTTTCCAAAGTGGTGGCACAATTCTACATTCCTAGCAACAATGTAATAAACCAATAAGAGTTGCAGTTGCGCCATGTCCTTGCCAACACGTGGTATTATCCTGAAGCCTTTCTCAGATGGACTTGACTCTCTTCTCAGTTGAGGGGTTCTAGGCCTCTCAATTGGCTTAGTTCAGGGAACTGAATAAGGAGGCTATGGATCCCCACTATAGCAACTCAACTTATGTTCCCCCACCCCCAGCAAATCTAGAATATATAAAGCAGGACCTTAGTAAGATGCCCCTTTCTTTCATTTCTAGGTACTCCTTGATTATTTAGCTCTGTCCAATGATCTCTGAAGGTTAAAACACTCTGATTAATATTATTTCCCTGTGATTTATTCTGGTAATATCTCATACCTTGTTCTATCTCTTAAACATTGCCATCTATTACCCCAGGATCCCATTATGCCAATTGAAATCAGGCAGCAAATTATATGACAATATCCTCCTTTCCCCACTCCTGTCCCCATCATCTCACCCTACAGAAATTGCCTTCAAGTGATATTTGAAGTAACATTGTGGTGACCTAGTCAACAATAAATTTCTTGATACCTTGGTGAAGGGAGTCTCCTCTGGGATTCCCAGGGAGTATGGTTAGCAACCATATGATCAGATTGCCCTTATAAATTCCATTTCAACATTTTCATTTCCCTAAATTTTCAGACTTCTTCCTCTATAAGACACCCAGGAAGTGTCTACATTCCAACCTCATTAACAGTAGGTCAATAGAGCTCTTACTATCCCTAGGTCCAAAGTGCATACAGGAAGTAGGGCATATCAAAACCTGAAAGGAGAGAGTCATATTAGAGCCAACTTGGAAGGAGCTACAATCTCTGAACAAATGATGCAACCTACTCAAAGAGATCCCTCAGGAAGGGAACAAGGGATAAGTACTCTGACTTCACTCTGTTACCTCTTTCAGGTTTTTACAGAGGCCTGCTCATTGGCAGAAATCCACTAGAATCCAGAAAGAAAAGGAACTGTATTGATGAGGTCCATTCAGATCAACTTCCAGAGGCAGGAGAAAGAAGAAGCGTGGATGAGAGACAAATGGGACACTTTTAGCTGATGATCTGTGTCTAGTTGTCTATTCTTTTACTCATATCACAACTTTAATTTCATAGGCTTTATATTAGGTAGAGGAAGTCCTCCTTCTTCTTCTTTCAGAGAGTCTAGGATACTCACGATCTTTTTTTATATACATTTTAGAGTTGGCTTTCTGTACACACACACACACACACATGCACACACACTGTTGAGATTGATTGGGATTTCGTTGAATTTCTTTACCAAAAGCGAGAGAATTGACATTTTTGCATTTTGCAACTTCTAATTCATAAACATGGTATATTCTCACACTTATTTACATCTTCAATTTTTTAAAATTTGTGTTCTACATTTTTCTATGCTGGGGTCTTGTAAATATTTTTTTAAAAATTGATCCCTAAATATTTTTCAGTCTTATGCTATTGTAAGAGTATTTTTTAAAATTTCATTTCCAATTTCTAGTTGCTTGCATCTGAAATATAATTTTAAAAATTATATGGGTAAACTGCTTTAGTAATGTAATATATTTGTAGATTACATTGGATTGTCTATATCACCATTGTATCTGTGTGTACTGTTAGTTGTGTTCCTTGATTTCTAATTATTAAAACTTTTATTTCTTTTTCTTTCCTTTTTAAACTGCCTAAGACCTCCAGTACGCTGTTTAATAGAAATAGTGCTATTTGGCTTCCGTATAAGAAGTCATTTAACACTTCATCATAAAGTTTGACGTTTGCTTTAAGTTTGTAGCATACACCCTTTACCAGAATGAGGAAGTTTTTCTTTTATTCCAAACTTGCTAGGTATTTGTTTCTTTATTATGAGTGAATGTTTATTACATAACAAATACTTCTGTGTAACTATTGAGATAATGAAATGTTTTTATTAATGTGGATAATTCCTTTGATTGATTTGAACGTTAAATAAAAATTACATAAAACCCAACTTGGTTGTGATATACTATCCGTTTATATAAACCAGTAATTTTCTTTGTTAATATTTTGTTTAGAAGTTTTGAATTTATGTTTACTGTGTGAGGTTATCCTATAAATTTAAAAAATTTCTTTATTCAGGTTTTGGTATCAAGATTATTCTGTCTTTGTAAAGTGTGTCTTCTTTTTTTTTCTGTATTTAAGTAAGTTTGGTGGACCAGTCATGTTATGATAAGTTATGCTGTTATAATAATCAATAATCAACTCCAAGATATCAGAGGCTTGAAGAAATAGTTGTTTATTTCTTGCACATAATCAAGGTGATTCTCCAAGTCAACTATACTACAAGTGGTGACCAATGTTTGAACATCCATATCAATACACAATTCAACAGTCACGACCATCTGAGAAAGCAGAGGTTGAAAGTTAAGCTAGGCAACTAAATGTCTCTCTCATGAGATGACACATGCCATTTCTACTCACATTTCTTTGGCCAAAGCGAGTCATGTGGTCACTTCAATATTCAGGAGGCATGCAATTCTCCTGGGTTGCTGGAAGGAGAGGGGAACTGAATATTGATGAACAGTCCATAGTCAGCCTTTGGATTTCTGATCAAGAATTCATTCCCTCCCTTCTCCCAACGCAGGAGACAGGTAGTCCTTCTCCAAAGGAGACAACTTAGGATCCCCTTTCAGTGACTCCTGATCAAAGGCAGGATTCCTGATTGATCTCCTATAGTCTTCCTCTGGTCTTGATATGATTCTTCTTGGTCTAAAGATCTATGAAGAAAAAAGCAGAAAACAAAGAAACACATAAACGAAAACAAGTAAACTATCTCCTCCACACACTCAAAATACAGTTACGGAACAGTCAAGGATTATATCATACAAGGTTCTCGTGCAAAGAGAATGAAGAGAGACATGCAGTGTTGGTCTGAAGCTAGTCTGTGATCCTAGGAGGCATTGGTTATAGCATTCCTTACCCTTTTGTGATGAGACTCTGACTGTGCTGTACGCAAGAAGCTCTCTTGAGCACTGTATTTCACAGTATCTGGCTCAGCCCTCTGGAATATTCTTCTTCTTTGATCTTCTTTGGCCTAGGTCTACGCCTTCCTTGGGGGATTGATTTCTCAGCCCACTCTCTGCTTGAGTTTCTTAGGAGCTGAGGAATTACTTTGAATCGCTAATGATCAAAGTTTGTTTTAGTCAAAGCTGCTTTTGACCATACAGCTCTTTCAAAAGATTAGTTGCCTTCTTATCCATTTGATTCCAGTAAGAGTCATATATTTGTGCTTTAAAATACATAAAAATAAATTTATATATTTATAAAATTCATGCACATATAACTAAACATATAAGTTAATAAAATGAATTAATGTATTTGAAAGAACTGTTAAAATCAGCATGATATTGGAAGAGAAAATGAATGGTTTTTAGTGCTATTTCATATCTGAGGATATAACCATTCAAGATGATAATTAGAAAACTACTCCTGATTTTCCCAAAATAATTGGGTTCATTCAATCTAACTGTTTTTGAACAAGTTGAAAAGCACTTTGCTATTTAATTTAACCCAAGATAAAAACATAATACCTGGGAATCTCAGGGAAGAAGGCTATTCTATACACTGAGCTCAAATATGGGAACATTTTTTATAGAAGAGGAGTTTACATTAGAAGGTCTCAGCTGTGCTTCCTCAGTGCCTGCCTTCTTCCTGTCTGTGGTTCATGGGTTTCTCCCAAGCCTCTGAGCAGGTGGTTGCCTTTCTGGAGCTCTAAGGTTTTTGATTATCTTCCACCATTATTTTTATTACTGTGGGAGACCCAAGAGCACAGAAGTAAGTCACTGAGTCTTCCAGTTGTAAGGAAGAGATGGTAAGGCTGATGAATTTTTCTGCCTTTTGAAAGTTCACAGAGAAGCGACCCTGCTTTACATTCGGCTTAGAATAATCCTGATAAATAAGGAAAACCATCTCTCCGCTGGGAGGCTGTTTGTACCAGTACAAAGTATAATAATTGCTCCAAGTGGTTTCATACTTCCAGTCCATGGTCACAGCTGCTCCTTCCTGACTTGTGATTGTGGTCTGAACTGGGATTACCTTCTGAGCCATGCTGGACCCTATGGAAAAAGGAGAAGACAGGGTTAGTCCTCTAAAATGTCTCAGACAGGCCTGGCTGACTAGATTCCTTTAGGAGACAAAGACAAAGAAAAGAATCACATAGTGTTTCGTTTCCCCACCACTATTCCCTCTTAATACCCCCATCAGTTACAACTTGCATAGTCCCTTCCTTGAGCTCTAAGAGGAAGCCGAGGCCCCATGTTTAGGGCCACACGTACTGAAGCCAAAGGAGGCCAGGAATGCCCACAGCAGGCCAGGGCAGAGCATGATAGAAGTTCTTCTCCTGGTTGAAATTTCTTTGGTTCTCACTCAAGCCCAGAGACTAGCACTCTGAGTGCCTGAGTGTGGAGTTTCTGGGGCTATTAAAAGTTTCTGTCCCCAAACAGGAAGTCAAGTTCGTAAGTAGGATGTTACACTGCCCTATTCAGAGACTGGAACTTCTACACTACTCCAAACCTCTGTCTTGTCTGTTTTTGCTGTAGCAATACATTGAAAAAATGGCTACTATATCTACCAAGGTACAGGAATGAAGTTTAATATCTTTTTGTTATTTAATTCTCACTCAATATCATTGTGATAAGACTATATTCTGAATGATTTAAATCCTTTGAAATTGATTAAGGCTTGCTTTAAGATCCAGAATAGAGTCAACCTTGATAAACATTCCATGTGCATTTGGGAAGAATATGTATCCTGCTGTTTGGGGGTAATGTGTTCTATACAGGTAAGTTAGGTAAAAATATTGATTGTGCTGGTTTTGTTTTCTCAGAGATGTGTGCTAATGCTTGCCACTATGGTTGTATATTTGTTTATTGATTTTTTAAATCAACAAATTCTACTAGTTTAATTCTACTGATTAACTCTACTGATTTATGTTTGACATATTTTGAAGCTATGCTGTTAGGACCATATGAAAATAGAATTATTCTCTCTTCCTGGTAGATTGTCCACTTAATCATTTTGAAGTGCTGCTTTGTAGCCCTAGTAATAATTCCTGGTTTAATATTCACTTTGTCTGATATTGGTATAGCTACTCAGCTTTCTTTTGATTAGAGAATCCAAATGCCATGTTATCCAAAAACGAATGAATTTGTATCTCTAGCTCCCACCATATTAAAAATTAACTTGAAATGTATCAATGACCTCAATGTACAAACTAAAACTCTAAAACTCTTAGAAGAAAACACAGATGTAAATCTTTAGCCCATGTTTAGGTTAGACCATGTTTGTAAAATATGACCTCAAAGCCCAAGTAACTAAAAACAACAGTTAAATTAGACTTTATCAAAATTAAAAACTCTTCTGCTTCAGAAGATACTATCGATAAAGTGAAAAAGACAACTCACAGAATAGGAGAAACTACTTGCAAATCATATATCTGTGATTAAGTATCCAAGGTTGAGTATCCAGAATATATAAAGAAATCTTATATCTCAACAATAAAAAGACCAGTGACTCAAGGAAAACTTTAATTTTAACAGTGATTTTACTGGGCTCCTGGGGACAGTAAGGGTAAAGGTGAGAGGGAATATTGCTTTTCATGATACATCATTTTGTATAATTTTTACTTTATACCATGTGTATTTATTACCTATTCAAAAGTTCAAGAATAACCTGTATTAAAAGTATTTTCACTACTCTTAGACCTCCTTTATGAATATTAATTACCTTTTTTGCCTTATAAAAGAATTGGTGAGATTTTTTTTCTCTAATTTTAATAGTTTGCTAAAATAGTTATTATTTTCCTTTCCTGGAGGAACATTGGGAAAAACTAAGACAGTGCATACTGTTGCTGATGGATATACAGACCTAAGAGGTATGAAGGACTTGGTGGTATGTTTGAGTAAAATCTCAAAACTCTTGAGTAGTGTCATTGAATCTGGGGTGTATGCTGTCATCAAAAATTTTCCCAAGTATTTCTAGTGAGCAGACATCCAGCATAGGAAAGAGGCAGAATGGAGTTAAATGTTGCTTTTCCTTTCTGTTAATCCTGCTCAATCTTTAGCACTGAGAGCAGTAGACTGTCAGTAAATATTTGTTGAATGTAGAACAGTTGCAATGGGAAAAAGCTTTGCAGGAATTCCTCTGATTGCTACTTGATTCTACCTTTTATAACAAAACACCCATACTTTGAAGGACTTACAGAAGACAATGGACATAAATATTACGTGAAAAAATACTTCAATTTTTAAATTGATATAAATTAAGGCATATGATATAAATTAAGGCATGAAGGCATAAAATTAAGACATGCTTAGAATGAAAACACTTGTAGTGAGTGACAACATTTGGGTGCTGAAACTTTGAATGATTTTAATTTTTCCATTATATTTTCTATATTTTCAAAAGTGTCCATAATGAAAACCAAAACGTGTTGGTTTTATAACAATTAACTTTTTGTTGTTCTGAAGGCCATCAAATTTTCACCCAGAAGAGTTTTAGATCTCTTTCGTTCATTTTGAGAAGTGTAGGATTTCAATGAGAGAACCTCAAATACCTCAGTGAGGTTATCTTTACAATTTACACATCTGCTCAAAATCCTACTACTTCTCCTGTAGAATATGTTGGAGTCAGTACATATTGTAGTAGTTCATCTTGAGTTATTTGAAAACTGAAATTTTTATAATCACAATGATTAGATCTCCACATTCTTTTCCAGTTGGAAACAAGATCATTATGACAAGCCTTTCTAACCCAAAATCTAGTCAAGGACAAAGCAGGTGACTGGAGCCCCCCCTGAAGGCTGCAGGGGACTGAGAGCTCTGTGTGTTCCCTACACAGAAGTACAAGGCTGAGTCTCCTGGTTGGGTGGCTGCGATACGCAGAGAGTTGTTGAAGCTTTTACTCAACAGTGCTGTGAATCTTCTGTCCTGTTTTCTACCCACTTCTGAACAAATCTGTATTAGAAGAGTTGAGTCTTTCTATGCTTCCTTCTTGTACCAAGACAAATAATTCGAAGGCCCCATCTGTATAACTACAGGTGATAACAGCCATTTTTCTCTCCCAGAAATTCAGGATTAAAGGACTCTGCATCCTTTTTTTGGCCACTATCCACTGTTGAGACAGTGAAGATGGGTTACTGGGTCATTTTCCGAATTTATGTTGTATTTCTAGAGTATCTACAGGAAACTTGAGGAGAACCAGAATGCCCTTCTTCCCCAGTCTTGCAATGGACCCTTCCAGAAGCCACAGTTTTAGCATCTATGACAAATCTTGGACAGATGAAAATAAGAATAAGAAACATCTCTTTTCATCAACTTCCTCAGAATTATACCTAGTGAATAAAAGCATATGAATAAACATCATTTAAGGTAAAACTCCATGGAGATAAAAGATTGAGAGAAGGTAGTACAACACAGGCAAGAAGGGTGGTTCACTCAGCCTAATATGATGTCCAGCCATGTCATCTCTAGGAATAGAAAAAAGACCTAGAAATACAGGATTCTACGATAACGCTATCCTTATCGCAAGTATCAAAGTGTTCCTGAAACAATCTTACTGCTTCATGAGCCACTAAAAATCTAGCTTCTTGAATTACTGTTAATTTATTTAAATTTAATAATGTTATTGTGCTTATGTTAAAAAGGAATCCCTTTCTTTTAGAGTACTCCACCCTGGACTTCTAGCTGCACCCGCAACTTAGCAGTCTCTACATTCCTGCTGAAGAAAGAGGATATCTCTCTCTCTATTTGCTCTTGCTCCTCCCCCAACAATAGATTGCTGTTTCTTATTTAGTGCTGGCTAGGCTCATTGTGTCAGCAGGTGGACTTCTCTGTTGTCTTGGTCCAGCTTCAAAGTTAGATGGGTCCATGTGTCTTGATCTCTGATTTGGGATTTTCTCAGTATTCATGCCTCTCCTCCCCATGGAAACAAAACACTGTATGTTTATTTGTGGGTCTTGGGCAAGAGATTTTCTGTCTCTCTCTCATTGACAGCAGAATTATAATGGTACTGTTATACCAGGATGAGCTCAGAATGGTTTCCTGCCCCTTACACAAATGTAGAGGCCATTTTCCTTGAGTCTTCTCTCTGCTACAATGGATCTTAACTGTGCTCTGCATGGTGTGTGTTTGCGTGTGTGTGACAGAATTTGTTGTCATCTCTTTAATCCCATACCCCACAGCTTCAGGCTTTTCCTTCATGTGAGATCCTTATCTAGGCAAGGTGTCAGGATTTGTGTCCTCCTGTAATCACAGCCAATCACATCCTGAAGGCCTATGTCTCTGATGGGGCTCCCTCTGTCACCCACTCTGTCCCCAGTCATTCTGTGAACACACGGTGAAGGTCTGTGAAAACGGCCCTACCAGTGAGTTCAAACTCCTCTTGTGTCTGTTATTCCCAGGACTTCTATATCTTCGTGAGAGCCGTCATTAAATCTTTCAGCTGATTTCACTTTCTTGCTTGTATGGCAGCCAGCTCCTCTTTTACCTCTGCTCTGCTCAAGTTGTGCCAGTCCTTACGCCTGTCTCTCCTTGGAGAGGCCTGCTCCTCGTCGCAATCCAGCCTACTTGGTTGCCCTATGACCTCATGTCTCTGATAGCATAAAGCAAAGTTATGATTTTGCTGTTTATCTAGTTTTACATGTTAAGGTAGAAGGAGCAGCCTTTCATGCTTTATATATCCTAGGAGGACTTGAACCCTGTTCATCTTCCATTGCATCTAAATTTGAAATATCCATATCAGGAATGCAGTATCTTTGTCAGCATTCTCCCTGCACAAGGAAGCATAGCTAAACATAATATTGTAAATCACATTTCATAATTGATATACCTCCTTCCTATTCAGTCAGAGATGAAGGGTACTGTTTTATCTACTGTTCATTGTATTTTGACTTCTATTGGTCTTTAAGCCTTTAAAAAAAAGTTGAGCCAATTTTATCTTTTATTTTTAAGGATCTCAGAGAAAGTAGAGTGGTTATTGTGTCTTTGCTAATGGAGGAATGGGCAAGCCCCTAAGGGCATTGCTACTGGCTCTGTGGCTTCAGCTAGGTTGTAAATCATGGGAGTAAATTTGGACTTGATAAGGAGAAATCCCAAAGAGAATTTCAAGGCTGAGGAATCAGATGATTGTAGTTTATTCTGGTCTAGATGGGTTCTCTTTGGGAACTTTAAAAATGGGTTTTGAAGATCAGATTATGAATATATGGATATCCAGGGAACATCTTCCATATTTTCACTTACCTTGGTCTTGATCCAAAGATCAAAGGGAGAAGCTTTTGCAATACATATAAGGGAACTTGGACGTAGATATTCCCCTTAAAGCAATGAGAAGCAACTGAGGGTTTTCATATAGGGCATAATTTTTTTCTTGAACGAATAAGTGATTGA